CTGGAAAAGTATTTTTATTATTATTAATAGCAGGTAAAACAGCATCTCGAGACTTCGTAAAATGCAATAATGAATTGTGATTATTATGATACGCTGTGCATCTATCCAAGATTTTGAAAGCCTTATTATTAAGCACATTAGTTAAATAGTTATAACAAAGTTTATTAAATTTCACAAAATTGAGTCTCTTGTAAACAGGCAATTTGCTGAATTGATTCCATTTATATAAGTAATGATTTTTCTTAAAAAAGGACAAATTGTAGTAAATGAGTTACCAATGTATCACCAAAGACTTCAACGTTTTGTTCTAGAACACTTAGAAAACGAACGCATTCATTAGTGACGTATACGAGATTCAAAATAGCTTCCGCTGAATCAGCATTGGCTGAGTAATAAGCTACTTAATTAATACATTTACCAATTCTCATTTATTCGAAAATCTATCTGCGAGCAAATCCAAGCAGTTTTGCAATTCGAATCTGAGATAGGTATAGCTTGAGTTATTTTTACATCTTCAGCCTTACAAGACCTCTTAAGACACATCCGATAATTTATTATTATTGTCTACACTGTCCTTAAAAAGGTAGCTAAATGTAAGCCATTGATCTAAACTTCCACTGAAGGTAGGCAAACTTAAATTTGGCTGTTTTTACTTTTGTAGTATCAGGCTTAACACTAACTAAACTAATATTATCAAGACGAGAACTTTTTCGTGCAAATGGAAGTAGAGATCATCAACTGTATTTTGAACTATTTGATATTCATCAACATATGCATCAACTTCCCTTTCCTCACACGTTACCTAAATATAATCAAAAATACATGAAACATTTGCACTTTAATTATTCAATTTCGTTTTGAAAAGTTCGATTTTCGCCCCATCTGCGTTAGTAATGTCCGAATTTACACAGGCTGTTCGCACATATTTTTTACGATTTTTATTGTATTTACAGAAATATTTTACCTAACATTTTTCTGTTTCTAGTATTCTCTTTGATAACCCTTATTCTACACTATCTTTCTACACCGCAATTTCGAAAAATACCGTTCGTTTTCTACACCGTATCGGAAGAAGTATTTTATCCCATTCGTCTCGAACAGCTGTCCAAAGTCCAAGATGGGTTGTAGGTTGACGTTTGGACAATCCGCTTTTTAAATGTCCAAAAGAGCAAAAATCCATGGGTGCATCAAGAGATTTAGTACAGATATGAGTGAAGAGCATGATCTTAAAACCCGTTTTTTATTCCATTTTTTTCCAGGAAATTAACAGTAGATTTTGGCATATGACTGCGTTCTTGGACTTGATGCAGTTCTACTGATTGATGGCACTGTGGGCAAAGAGAATGTATTTCATATTTAAAACTGGATATGAAATATGTTCCTGATAATATATAGAGTTGATCTTAACATTATTCATTTTTAATTTGCCGTTATATGGAAAAACAGCAACAATCATAAATCCCTTTGTAAACCTTTCTTTGAATTCTTTAAATCATGTTTCAGGATTTTTTCTCCTCTTTGGTGGAAATAAATGGATATCATTTTATTGCAGTCATTTAAACATATCCAAGGTACATCTATTGTGACAATGTTTTTTCCATTTTTATTTGGGTAAACGTTTTTCATAAAGAATTCTGTAGCGCATTCTTCGTTCGGCGATATGTTGCGGAGAAAAATGATGCACATTATGTTTTTTTTCACCTTTTTAACAAATCTTTCAAATCAATATTAATTACTTTGTTTATAGTTGAACTGAGCATTTTTATGATATTACAGCTCTCCGCTGACTTGGCGGATTTTCTTTTAACATTAAAAATCTTATAACTTGGATAGTTGGAACAATTTTTCCACTTAAAGGCAGATTTTGACGGTTTTTTTTTTTTTTTTTTTTTTTTTTTTTTTTTTAAAATTTTTTTATTGACAATATTAACTATTGTAGCTTTCGGTATTGAAATACCACGATTTTCACAGAGTTTTTTTTTTTAATGATAGATACGAACAATTTTCTTCGTAACGAGCACAAAACATAGTATTTCATTCATTGCTTCATTAAAAGCAAACAAAATTATCAAAGAGCAAAAGATAATTTTTACTTTCAAAAATATAGTTGCAATTCAAAAAAAAAAAAGTGCTGTCGGACAATTTTTTTATAGCAAAGAAAAAATCGTCTAAAAAATGTGCGAACAACCTCGGTATTTTATCTTTGGTTAAATTTTAGCTACTCGTTTCTTTATTAATAACGATTTCATATCCATTATGCTAAAGGTAAAGATAACTTACCCTTAATTGATACTGCTGCTGCGTGCTCTCAAAAGTGTCAACAACAGTTAGCTGAATCAAACTTTGTTTGATTAGTACAAAAAACACCGATTATTCATCAAGCGATGACAAACAAATGTCCGTTACAGAAGTCAAAACTCAGGATTCCGATGTGAAGCGCTGCAAACAGATCTACAGATTGATATTGTACTAAAATAAAGCCTATGCAGCGCAAAACTGAGCAATAATAATTACTGTTCTCATAAAATCCATAGGTTCTCCGGGTAGAGAAAACCAAAAAAATTATGATGCGATGCGAAATAAGAAGAAGAATAAGCTATGGACTCTATGAATTTGAGTTTTTCATTCTCAAGTCCGCCCCCCCCAAAAAAATACACTATGAATGACAGCGAAAAACAAAACATCTACTCTCGTCTCAAAAGCGTGAGCATTCGCATGGTCAAGTAAAAATAAACTGCCCTCGTAATAGCAGCGCTATCTGTATCAACTTAAATTTAATAGTAACAGTTTCAGTATCTTTCTGTATGAAATTTAGCTTAGATAAAAATGATCTAAAAAAGCTACAGCTTTGTGCACAGTTCTATCCTAATTCATTTACCATATTCCCATTTAAAAAGATTTATCATCAATTCTATCTCAACCAAAATCATCACAATCTATATATATATATATATATATGTAATTAATATATATAAATACATAAAGAAACATAATAAGAGGCTAAAATTAAAAGCAAATTTTTATACCCGTCCTGCGCTCTAGCTGCAGGATTTTAGTAAAATAAACTTAAAATAGCTAATTTAAAAGTAAATTGAAGCCTAAGCAAGGCAATTCGTCAACAATATTAATAATTGCAGCCATGTGTAAGAGGTTTAATACAATATCAAAAACAAATTAAAAAATTAAAATAAGAATTGATAGTACAATTCTAAAATACCTTTCTAAAAATAAAAATGAAAAGGCAAAAGGGAAAACATATACAAGATAATAAAATAAAAAATTATAAATTCATCTGCATTTACTGAAACTCCAATGCAGAACTCATCAGGGGAAAATGAATTAAAGCTTCATAAAGTTGGATTAATATGTCTCGAAAACGTGTTTCGTTCTACTGGTCCATTTGAGATCAAAGACCGAAAAAAGAATCCTTTGAATTTTCTTTTAAGACATTAAAATTCATATAAAACCGAAAACTCGGATCTCAAATGTATTAACAATTTCCTCACATACCTTCGAAACACTTGGGAAAACGAATAAAACATAACATTGTGCTAAACTGACTATTCAAAAAAAAAAAAAAAAAAAACTTTCCATTATGTAAAAAGACCATTAAAAAATCAAAGTGGTCTAAAATTATTATATGCAAATCCGAAAGCAAATAAATATAAAGAGCAAAACAAATATACTTTAAACCAAATTGTCATTTAAACAACACTCAAAAATTGGGTGGTCCCCGATTATGCTAAACTAAGCTTTTAATACCAAGAAAACAACAAAAAAAAATCCTAAAGATTCTTTAAATAATAAAATAAAATCTGAGCCTTTATCAGCTAAAAATTGTAGACCAATTAGATACAAAAATTGAAAAAAATGCAAACTTACTGAAATCTTAGGACTACCTTTTAAACGAAAGCTTACTTAATTCTTCAAACGACCAAACTGTGTTCCTTGTAGAATTCAAAGATTCCCTGGAAGCGCAAAAAATTGTAGTTCTTGGAAAAAGTATGCTATAAGGTTCAAAGTGTCCAACAGCAGAACTAAGTATCTAAACATGTGTTCAAAATGTCCTATCCTGTTAAACTTTGTGTGCGGGGGTGCCAAATGCTGAGTGCGGTCTGTAAAAATTTTCATACGAGGAGGGTGATCGTCGACTCCAAAATGGCGGTGTAAGAAACTTCTAAAAGATGCTGTCATCTGTAAAATCTTAAAACGCGAAAGGAGTACTGGCTCAAAATTGAGGAAAAGGAAAAATGCATGTTATAAAAGATAAAAATCTACACGTAATCGGGGTACAATACGTCTTAGAAAACTAGAAGCCTCATTTTTTCAGTTACAGCTAGAAGCTTTGCCAGTTATTAAATTTACAAAATAGTAAAAGATAATATAAATAATAATTGAAAGGAAAAAGAAACGAGATCTTTGTACATATTTACATTAAATTTCTTATCGTAGTCATCGAACTACTACTTCCTGTTAAGGTTTAAGTAATAATTATCATATCACTTTAGGTGAGAAATTGAGAAAAAGTTAAAGAGAGTTAAAACCAGCTTTCTTTAGAGTTATATAAATTTTAAATAGAGGTGTTTTATTCTCTAAGAAACTTTTGACTAAGTTAGTAATTTTTTCTTGTATGTATTCGACATTGTTGCAAATATTCTAAGGAGTTATTTATTCTAAGAATTATTCTAAGGAGTTGAATATGTATAGTATTGAGTATTACTCTTTTGGAGATATTGGAGTTTTATAGTAGGGAAACAGGTTACGGATTTCTTGAGAAAACTTCCGTTTTACATGAGATAAGAAATTAAAAACATTAATTTGCAGAAGAAACTTTTGTCTAGTTTTTCTTTGTCTTATAAATGTCTTTTTGTTTGTCTTATAGATGCCAACTGCAAGCATGGATCGCCTATGCAATTTTATTTTATTCCATCATAGTAAATTGAAACAATAAAAATTTAAAGCAAAGACGAAACTGAGCGTTTCTTGTTTCTTTGTTTTAGGAAAGGAGTCAAGCAGACCAATACACTTCTAAGTCATCTCCGTCTGGTTGCAAGACCTTCACTTGTAAGCAGTGCGGCAAGTCATTCAAGCGCTCTTCAACGTTGTCGACTCATTTGCTCATCCATTTAAACATCAGACCATATCCTTGCTTGTACTGCGGTAAAAGCTTTCACCAGAAATCAGATATGAAGAAACATACGTACATTCATACAGGTTAGTTTGCTTTTCAGCTTTTGCTAAACCCTTAAGGTAATAAATGTTAGCCATTGGATGGAGTTTAAGGTATGAAGTTGAGTACCAACACATACCGCCATAACTTACAAAATTCAAACCCTTTTGTTCATTAACGTCGTTAGAAATATAATTAGTGGACGAAAAGTAATCTGTCATATAACTAAACAGAAGCGAGAGAGTAAATAATACTAATAGCTTTCATATTTGACAATGAATTCGATACCTTATCAGGAAGTAAATTAAAAATCAATGATAAACTTTTGATTATAGCTACCAACACCTTGAATGAGCTAAATAAAAGCTCATAAAAAGAATTTTAATGGAAGATATAATCTGATATGATACTTCAAAGCTCGAGGAACTGCTTTTTATTGAAATTAAAGCCAAAAATGGGAAAGAAAAGGACATTTGAATTGCCGCTTCATTATACAGCTTAATACAGATAAAAGAGGGCGGGACACCAGAATTTCATCTTTGATCGCACAGGTATAGTTCTACCACATTAATTATGCAACCTCGCCCTAATTTAACGGAAAACATGCTGGGGTACAGCTCCGAGGATCTCCTACCCCGCTTGTCTTACCACCAAAGTACTCAAGGAGTCTTTCTGTTCGCCAGTATTTTAAGTGCCCCATGTCGCACAGACTCTAGACACCTACAAACATCCATGCCTTCTCAGGAATTCGAAAGCAAGCCCAAGGATATCGAACTCTACATTAATCTGGATCTAAAGGTGTCTCACTCCCCTTAACTAGCTAGGATCTGTATCTCGGTAGTCATGCCACGGGGGGGATAAAAACACGAGCTTGGAAATCTGTTTATGCTGTTGGACCGAGGGGATCGGCGTAAGTCCTAGACCTGTTGGCACCAGCAGCTCGGTAGGGTAAGTTCTCTGGGTAATGTCCTCGATAACGGGCAACCACGTAGTAATGATGGGAGCATTATTGGCGATCAGTGAGATTTCCAGGTGAATAGGTCACGCCTCACCAGCAGCGCTGAGAACAGGGAGTGGTGACCCTCGGGCGCGGTTCGAAAGTGATATAAGGAAGAAAGTTTAAAAGTCCATAAAGATCCGATGTGAGACTCGGGTGCTCGGAAGAGTGGAATAGTAGCATACATTAGATGATTTTTGTTTGGACTATCATCCCTTGCCTAATACAGGGAATATCAGTTGGGATCTCCAGCACGTGTAGTTGCAGGAGCACGTACGAAGTTGGTTTTGCCTTGCTCCACTCCTCTTCCCTACTACCGACCTCTCGAGGGGATTTTTCCCTCGCCGTATTTTTTGAGTGCCCTTCATGCCGCACAGACACTGCACATTTACAAATATCCAAGCCGTCTCTGGGATTCGAAAGCGGACCTTTCGGTACGGCAGTCACCGTCGCTAACCACTTTCCCTTCGGGGCGGCATATAAAAACTCGTTTTTTTTTTTTTTTTTTTTTTTTTTTAATTTGAGATAGGCGACGGAATTTCATGGTGATGTAAAGTGAAGCAATATAAGATGGCTTAATGATATATTTGTAACTGTAGTAAAATTCTGTATTAGACGTGCTAATAGTATTTTCTGATTCTGAAGATAATCAATTCATCTTGAGCACGCTGCTCAACTGTACATTAGAACGTTTTTTAAGTTCCATAATTTCTATTCTTGGTAACATAGGAACTTCAAATTCATTATAAAGTACAATGATGGTTCCTGTCTCAATGATGGTTCAATATGATGACCGATATGCATTCAATAGAAACCAAATACCTAATTATCCTTTCTCAAACTATCAACATGAGGTTAAACCTATGCGTACAATGTATACGAGAAAGCATTCCGATTGGCAAATAAAGGATGTTCTACCTTGTTATAGGAAAAGTTGTAAAGCAAAGAAAGGGAAAACAAGCTATGCAATCAAAAACCTAATACCTTTTTGGGAAACGTACCTGTTCAAGGAATATCGATGCTCTATTATCTTCAACTAAATGTTTTTGAATTCATCTGAAGAGACAAACTGCTAACTTAGTTATGCAGCCTGAAATTAATTTTAATGCTCGAAATATTTCTTTGAAACTACACACACTAATACATTAGAAAACCAAGATCAATATTTATTGGACTAACTTTTGCAAACTTCTCTGATTCGTTTGGGCATCGAGTCTACTTGCTTCTGGAGTGCATTTACGTCCAGAGAATACCATGTATTGGCTATGCAGCATTTTAGAGCTTGTAAATTAAATGCAAGAGGAAAGTGCTGTCGGATGCGTCTTTTCAACATTTCCCACAAATTTTCTATAGCGTTTAGTTCCGAGCTATGCTGTGGCCAGGGAAGGTGTTGGAAGTCAGACTGATGTTCAGCGAGCTAATTTTGAACACGTCTGGCACGATGTATAGTTGCATTATCGTATATGAAGTATCCGTCGCCATCAAGGTATAAATGCAACATTGCATGGTGAGCTTGATCTGCCAGTATATGTCTAGGTATCTCATGGCTGTTTGTTTAACCTCGAGGATCACCAGGGCATTACTTCCATGTCAGCAGAACACGCCCCATATCATAATATTCCTACCAGACCCTTGCACAGTGCGAGTAAGGCAAGATGGCTTCATGGGTTCTCGCCAAATTCGACGTCTTCTATTAGCGCAAAATAATGTGCAGCGTGATTACCACATTACCCGTTTTCAATCCTCAGATGTGTAGCGTCTTCTTTCCCGACACCACTGAAAACGAATTCTTCCATGTCGGGCAGAAATGAGTGGTTTTTTTCACAGGCACCCGACTATGCATTCCTATCCTCTGCGCATGGTTCGAACTGAAATCTGTTGGAAAGAGCCTTGGTTGACGATCTGTGTCAGTTGAAGCAAAGTGGAATCCCTGTTCTGCTGTACAATTCGTCGGAGACGACGCCGATCCCTTACTTGGAAAAACTATGCTCGAACTGCAGTTACGTCTTCTAGAGAAGGATTGTGGGTTCTGATTACAACTTTTGAAAACCTTTGATATGGCTGCTTTTGAGAACCATCGATTTCGAAGACAGTGAGATCTGCTGTCTTCGAAATCGATTTCCCTGCTCAACGGGCACCAACAGCAGTCCTTTTTCAAATGGTGAAAGATGTGTCAATCCCTAGCACACATTCAAAATCTCAAAGGTTTCTAATTCACTGACCAGTGTGTGTATTTAATTTCATGATAACTATATTTCTCTTTCTGAATAATATTCTCTAAATTAAATTAGATTTTTATCTGTTTACTATAAAACCGGACTTTGTGTTAAATAATTTTGTTTCATTGTAGGGTAATAACGCGAGTTTTCTGATCACGATGAAGGCATGGCATTTTGTCTTTGCGGCATGAAGGCACTCAAAATATTCGGCTAGCTGAAAGTCTTCTCGAGTGGATTGATGGTAGGGGAAGAGCCCAGAGGCCCTGGAGCCGTTTCTTGGAGTGCTGTCCTTCAAAATAAGGGTGGAAATTTCAAAATTGTACTGTTACGTATATGGTGCTCATACCGACGACATAACGCAATATTGCACTCCTTGCAACGATAAAAATCTGTGGATTTATTCCGATTACGTCAGGCAAGTGAGATTAGCCACAACAATAACAACAATGAAGGAGTGCTTCACTCTTTCTTACATTTTAGTTATAGGATGGTATCATAAACATCAACTCCATTATTAGGCAAGGGGAAAGATTCTGATGTGCATCTCTGGGCCTCACTTTTAGAGACTCTATATTTTGGCCTGAAGAGTTGCTCGTCTCATCCGTTTCCTAGAAAGGCAGACTTTTCCAGTTAATAAGAGACGGGTTGCAGGAGGCATGATCGAACTCTAATCCGCCGCATTGTCCCTTTTAAAGGGATCTTAGCTAGGAAACGAGTTTTTGCCCTTCATTCGATTTGAATTTTAGGTTGTTGTTATTTGAATTATTGTACCTTTTATTGTATGGTGACACTTTCCTCAGAGCATTGACCCCATGATTATAGATCTTGACTGGCGAGATAAATAATACCAACGGAAATGCTAAAGGTACATTAGCTGAGGTATGATGTTCGGTAGATTAACTAAATTTTCAACATATAAATTTAACAAAATATGTTCGTATCAGTAGAAGAATATTCTTTTATGACACTGGCTATGGTAAAAAACAAGTAAATTATTAATATACGCACAAAAGGTGTTCTTTAATATTCATTCTTGATTATGATTTTTAATAATTTGTTAAGAGAAGAATATATCAGAAAGTAAATATTTTTATTTGAGTCAAGAATATTTAGTTCTTTTCAGTATATATGAAAAGTTTGATAGCTTTCTTGGCATTCCAATAATAGTGCAAAATCGGAGAAATGTCATTGTTTTCATTTAATAGTGTTTATCGACAACAAATAAATATCAGAAATTGTTGCCAGTATAGATAAAGTAACAATTTCATAATTCAACTGCTTAATTAAATCCTTTTTCTTCCGTATTATAAGAGCTCATCAGTGTAATAGAGCCATTTAAAAAGGAATTTTTATCTGTACTTCTTGATAAAATTTTGCAACAAGTGTTATTTTATACCATTAATGTAGCAAACAAAATACAATGTTAACATCAGATAATATATACCGATTACGACATTTCTAACTCTAGTTCCTACATATACTCTCTGCCTCAAAATAAATTCTAACCGCAATGAAGAAATTTTGTAAAACTTTCATTTTAGCACAGACTTTTCCTATTCTTTTAATAATTATGTACACACACACACATATATATATATGGCAATATTTTAAATATTTTTTCTAGTTTTATTCAAACAATATTTTTGATGTTTTTCACCACATGCACTGGCGGGTTATTTTAATTATAAACAATTTCTAGTTATAAAAATAGTTTACAGATGGCAAATACGCGCACACATATACTGCGTGCCTTTTAATATTTTCGTATTTTCGTACATATACCATTTTATAATTAAAACTATTATTTTGCATTTTATTTTAATTTTAT